GACCACATTCTTCATTTTCACCTCCTTGCATTAGTGTTGAATCAGGGTTTATGGATGCCAAACAACAATGCCCAAATATACTTTATTATTCCTTGCCCACCAAATGTACTCTCTACTTTTCATGTGCCAAGTTGTGTGTGGTAAGAGCTTTTCATTCATTATCCCCCTGACCACCCTATGAGCTGGTTGAACTCTCCATTTTGTGATTGAGGAACAATGGGAGAGGTTCAGTGATTGACCAAGGTCATGGACAATGGTAAGTATTAGGGCTGGATTTGAACTAGGTTGACTTGGTTGTGTATACGACCTTTGCTCTTCATCAGTGTGGGTTGCCTCCAAGTGCCTATGGCTGCTGATGGTTTTTTCTGTCCCTGAATACAATTATTCTTTCTTTTTCTCTATAAATAAAAAACATTTTTTGAAAAAAATCTAGAATATGTATACGAAAACATTAATAGTGATTATCTCTGCATGGTGAAATATGAATGGTTTTTGTTTTCTTTTCCACACTTTAAATTTTATGGAATAAACATTTATTACTTTTTATAACGAAACATAATGGCACTATTTTTATAACAGTGATTATTTTCTTCCATGCACAGTATTATAGGTGGGCATTTAATGTAATTTAACCATTGCTTCCCACCTCCCCACATCACATGTATGAGAATCTTTAAAAGCAGCATTATTGGTATTATTTTGCTTACACATGGTCTTAGCCAAAGGGACAAGAAGTGATGAATTTGCTTAAAGCTCACAAAGCGCCGACAAGAGGAATGCATGTTGTGGCATCATGATCTCACTGAAGATGGTTTATCTTTTTTCCCTGATCTCCCTGCTTTATACAGTTTAACTACTGAGGTGCTAAGTATGCATGGCAAAGGGAGTGGAAACCTTTGACATGTAGAGAAAGCACTGGAGATTTGGGGAAATTATGGTGTTTTTTTTTTTTTTAAAGATTTTATTTATTTATTTGGGGGTGGGGAGAGGCAGAGGGACAGGGAGAGAGAGAGAGTCTTAAGCAGGCACCACCCCTGTTTCTTGGGGCTCAATCTCACGACCCTGAGATCATGACCTAAGCCCAAACCAAGCGTCAGACACTCAACTGACTGAGCCACCCAGGTGCACCGGGAAATTATATTTTTAAGTAGAAGAGAAGAGAAATGAAAAGGTAAAGATAGGGAGTAGACTTTTAGCTGATGTTTCTCTTGTACACGAATATATGTCTTAGTTCAGTTCCCTTTTGCTGTTCAGACAGATGCTGACACTTGTCCATTTAGCTTCTTAGTTCTCTACTAATATGAAATACTTCATTAGTTTGCATTTGGGGGTTATATAAAATTAGACCTTTAGGAAATTAAAACATTTCAGGACTGGGGAAGCAGGCATTCAATGACTACCTTCAAAAGAAATGCAGCAGAAGAGAACCACAATTAAGGTAAATTAATTCTCGGGTTCTCCGCAGTTCTGAATCGGCCTGCTTTTAAGCTGCAGGCATCTAATCAAATAGGAAATAAAGATGCTTAATAAAGAATATTTGATTGCTGCTACATAATTCATTCCCAAACTTGTAGTTGTATATACTTTTTGGCAGGAGAACAAGTGAGGATAAAAACATTTTTGCTGGGCTCCGCCTGTCCACCTTTAACTTTGCTGAGCTTAGCCGTTTCCGTTTCTGCACATGGTAGCCTCTCCGTGCAGTGCTGCTGGGCACGGCCTCAGGACCTTGAACCATGCCTTGGACATGTGCCTGAGGTATTTGAAAGGCACTGACACCACCCTGACTTCACCCATCATGCTTCTGGGGGCCTGCAGAGTGATTTACTGGGATGCCAAAGTTATATTCAGGACCCTGAGCAGTTAAACTTGCTTCATAGATGTACTGACCAGAAAGAACATTCATCCCTAGGAATTGGTCCTAAAGTCCTTTATGGAAACAAGGGTGACATGTTCTGTACTCCCAGAATAAAATTTACCGACCCTAAAAAGTAAGATTTGGAGAACAAGTTTAAACATTATTTGAAATAATTGGCGCTAGAGTTAAAATCTTCAGTATTCCTTTGATAAAATCTGCTGAATGGGAAGCCAGGATATTTTTATTGAATGGCTGTGAGTGGACTCTTAGATGTTTGAGTTGTATTGCATTTTAGGGGTCATCTGTAGTAAACTTCATTTTAAAGGTAAGTATGTACTCCTTTTCGATTGTGTTGGCAAATAGAGCTATTAGGAGCCAGAATCTTATGCTGATTCGTCATCTAGCTTGACTCCTGTTAGAATATAATTAAAGCGTCATCTCCCATCCAAAGAAATAGAATCTAAAGTAAAAAAAAAAATAATAATAAATCAGGTAGCCGTGATGAGGATGCAGTTGTTACTCAAAGAGCTGTTTTTACAATTTCTTCATTAACATTTTATTCAGTAGAACAGCACATAATGGGAGCCACATATGTCATTCTAAATTTTCTAGTAGCTGCATTTAAAAAAAGTAAAAGGAGGGGCACGTGGGTGGCTCAGTCAGTTAAGCGTCTGCCTTCGGCTCAGGTCATGATCCCAGAGTCCTGGGATCGAGTCGCATATCGGGCTCCCTCCTCAGTGGGGAGTCTGCTTCTCCCTCTGCCACTCCCCCTGTTTGTGCTCTCTCTCTCTCTCTGTGTCAAATAAAACCTTAAAAAAAGTAAAAAGAAACAGGTGAAATTAATTATAATTACATATTTAACCTGCTGTATCCAAAAGACTATCATTTTAATGTATAATCAACTTAAAATTATTAATGAGATATTTTACATTCTGTTTTTCTTCTTCCTGGCATTTGGTGTATCTTTAACACTTGTAGCATCTCTCAAATCAGACTAGCCATATTTTAAGTGCTCAGTAGCCACCTGTGGCTAGGGGCTACCCATGCTGGACAGCACAGATTTAGAACCTATTCCTTTAGACTTTCAAATATTCTAGAAACAAATACATTCAAATAGAATATAAGTATTTTAGAAAGAGTTCTTAATATTCTTGGATAACTGGAAAAGGTGAAAACATGTTGAAAATTACTTAAATAGATCAGTGAATTAGCTATCTGATGGTATTCTGTACTCCTTAAGCTAGTGCAAAATACTGCTCACATATTAAAATTTTCAAGTTAAAAATGGGGGAAAAGATACAAATGTAGTGATCTGAAGGGGTATGTGCACCCCAGTGTTTATAGCAGCAATGTCCACAATAGCCAAATTATGGAAAGAGCCAAGATGTCCATCAACAGATGAATGGATAAAGAAGATGTGGTATATATATACAATGGAATATTATGCAGCCATCAAAAAAACCCCACAAAATCTTGCCATTTGCAACACTGTGGATGGAACTAGAGGGTATTATGCTAAACGAAATAAGCCAATCAGAGAAAGACAAGTATCATATGATCTCACTTATATGAGGAATTCTTAATCTCAGGAAACAAACTGAGGGTTGCTGGAGAGGTGGGGGGTGGGAGGGATGGGGTGGCTGGGTGATAGACATTGGGGAGGGTATGTGCTATGGTGAGCACTGTGAATTGTGTAAGACTGGTGAATCACAGACCTGTACCTCTGAAACAAATAATACATTATATGTTAAAAAAAAAAAGAAAAAAGATAGTAGGAAGGGAAAATGAAGGGGGGAAATCGGAGCGGGAGACGAACCATGAGAGACTATGGACTCTTTGAAACAAACTGAGGGTTTTAGAGGGGAGGGGGATGGGTTAGCCCAGTGATGGGTACTAAGGAGGGCACGTATTAAATGGAGCACTGGGTGTTATATGCAAACAATGAGTCATGGAACACTACATCAAAAACTAATGATGTAATGTATGGTGACTAACATAACAAAATAAAATCTAAAAAAAAATAAGAATAAAAACGGGAAACAGGACTTTCATTCTACTTGAAATAGGTAAGTTTTCTATCATCAGGCCTGTGTGCCCACTGTGATTCTTGCAGAATTAAAGAAAGTTTCCACAGGAGTCATGGCTCTCTGGGTGCATTATTTTAGAGCCATGGCTATGAACTTGAGAACTGGTAGAGACAGGGAAAATACCCCCAAAATGAGCATTGCTACAGGAACTCTTTGAATAAGAAGGAAAGATTGTCATTGGTTGTCTGAATGTTTGAGGCTAACAAAAAATAAAGAACAATTATAAATTGCTCATCTTAGGCAGGTTCAATATAGCATTATTCAGGACAGGAATCTTTTCTGTGAGATTCCTTCATTTCCTGAGACCTTACGTGTAAAAAATTTGTGTTTTAATTTCAAGTCAGGATGGGTTGTCTTTACTCGAAGACATACTTCCTTTGAAGTTTTAGAAAAAGTAGAGTCAGTCTGCCTTCATGTAGTTTGTGTCATCTAATCACGATTCCTACTTTACCTGAACTCACATTTTCTGTAGTTGAACAAACTTCTCGCCTGAGAGCTGTAAAATATGGAAAGGGTAGAAAAATCAATTTTCTTCATTGGTAAAATTTTCTTGAAAAGTTGCAAAGTAACATTTCAGTCAGTGAAGTCAGAAACTCCTTTCAACTCCTTTATTAAAATGTCTTTAGGGCACCTGGGTCAGTTAAGTGTCTACCTTCAGTTCACGTCATGATCCCAGGGTCCTGGGATTGAGTCCCACATTGGGCTCCCTGCTTTGGGGGAGCCTGCTTCTCCCTCTCCCCCCCCAACTTGTGCTCTCTCTCGCTCCCTCTCTCAAAAATAAATAAAAAAATCTTTAAAAAAATAAGATGTCTTTAATTACATGTGTTTTAAGAGGGGCAAAGTTAGGAGAAATGAATTCTAGAACATGCAGTTCTCTGCCAGAGTCTCATAATTAAGAGATTTTTTTTTTTTTTTTTTTACATTATCAGTGGAGTCCCATTTCCCCCACTCCTGTCATACAAACCTTAGTGAGTCAGTCTGAATTTCTTGCCTGCTCTTTCTTGGATTAATTTCTAAGAGATCTTTTTTCCCCCCATTTTTATTTTTTTGGCACCCAGGAATTAAATAGCTTTAATTACTTGGATCTGTACAGACTTGCTGACCTCTTTAACCTCACTTTGCTGGAGAAGGCAGTGATCGATTTCTTAGTGAAACATCTCTCTGAGCTCCTGAAGAGTCGCCCAGAAGACGTTCTAACGCTTCCTTATTGTCTGCTCCAGGAGGTTCTGAAGAGCGACCGCCTGACCTCCCTGAGTGAAGAGCAGATCTGGCAGGTAAGGGCGCTCTGCATGGGTCTTCTTGTGGCAGGGAAAAGGCACGGAATGGTTAAAAGTTGAACAGTTGAGGAACAATGATAACTATTTTGTCTGGTTTGGTTCTCCTCAGAGTCAAAGTCAGAAGTCATGCTCCCTTGATGGCAAGTGATTGGAGAACACCAGCCCTTGAGGGTCGGAGGCCTCAGCCTCTGCTCAGCTTAACTCGGGCTGTCACAGGTGTGGTTTCTCAGACCCTTGCTGCGGCTTCCCAAAACCCTAAGGCGGGGAGTTACATCAGAAAGAGTCAAGAATTTCTTTCTCCTGATAAAGATAGTTTCTTAAACTGAACGTGAGAAAAACGGATTGTCAAGCACCATATATGCATATTATTTAAGACCAATGGAATCAGAATAGATTCTGAAACATTTCTTTGTTGCAGCCGAGAGCAGCTGGGACCTTAAACGAAGCTCTTCTTGCACAGCAGTGGAAAAATCTCCCTCTTTAGTTAATTCTGCATTCATTGCCATTTTCCTAAGCCCTGCCTTTCGCCTGACGTAGCATTCTTTCCGAATATCCTTTGTCTAGGGGATGGAAGGATGTTTTGTGTTTTCAAGTTGATTATTCAGTTTAAATCCTTTTCTGCTCATCCCCACTGGCTTTACTTGAACAATCCACATGGTGCCTTGGGAAACAGAGCCCATCTTATCACTTTCGTTTTATGTCAACCACCTCACTCTCTGAATGCTGGCTGGCCATTTTGTTATACCTTCAAGATTTCACGATCATTTTATTTATATAAAGAACACATGAAGTAGAAACAAATAAGACATATATTTTATTTATATACATGTTCATGCTATTTATATACAGAATACAAGAGAAAATATGAAGTCTTCTGTTAGCTGATGGGATGGTGAATTCCTGGTATCTTAGCAAATGACATTTGGAGAGTACTCTAACTCTGGCCAGAACAGGCAGAGGGAGCTGTTAATTATCTAACACCTGACTCTATTCACTGATGATTTTCCTGATGTCTTTCTCCCTTATTTCTTTCTTTAATTGCATTAATCAGCAACTTCCTTCTTTACTGTTGCTCCACCACTGAGGATAATAAGAGCTAATGGTGTAGTGAGGGCCTTCCAGGACCCAGACTCTTCGCAAACTTACTGACTTATTGTCACAATGGGCTTGAAGGATACTTGTTATCACCCCATCTTCCAGATGAGCAAAATAGGGCTTCATTGCCTTGCTTAGAGTTACAGAGCAGAGCCAGCCTACAAATCCAAGTCTGCAGACACCTGTCTTCATCTCTACAGTATCCCACACTGTCTTGACAAAGAAAATATAAGGAAAAAGAATAAGCCATATTTTCTTTCTCCTTCTTAGGTATTTCTGATAATGTTTGTTCAGGCAGAGGTCAAAAGTTGGTGAGGATGAGTTTTGGTATGAATTTTAATTATCTGTGGTTCTCCCCTATAAACACAAATCATCAACATTTTCTGGTCAATTCAAATTGGGAGGTTGCCAAATTTTTCTTCACTTCCCAAAGGGAAAAAGAAAGACTTGGAATGAATTCTGCATTTAATTATTTCTAACTGAATTGAAATCTGAGCCAGTCATCCTTGTGGCTTCTCTTTTTGTGGCATGGTTGAAGGGACTGCCAGAGAGGTAATGTGCAGATGTCTGAGTATCCAAAAAAAATTCCATACTGTCCATGTAAGAGTTATCATAATTGCCTCTGTAAAGGTTACCAATATTATCATGTAGAATTTTAAAAACTGCTTTCTGCTGCAGGCAATATCTTTTTTGTACCTGGTCCTCAAGAAAGAATTAAAAGACTCACATAAATATGATCAATTTAGGCATTCAGCAGGCAATAAGAAACTGTTTTGCTTTATCTTAGTAAATACGTAATTCCCTCATACTCAACCCAATAGAGAAAAATTAAATCAGACCAGCTATATTGCCTCAAGTATAGTTAAGTTCATCATTTTTGCTGAGGTTATACTAGTAATGCAATATACCAGGGAAGAATCTAATATTCAGCCCTGGTTGAAGATTGGGTATGCCAGAGGATTAGTGTCAGGGTGCTTTATAGAAGTGAATCTTGATGGACAGGCTGGAGACAAATCTACAGAATCTCATTAAATTGCTGAATTGTTCATTACGGAACGTTCTCACTGTAATAAAGTGCTCATTGACTTTGACAAATCCCCATCCCATGTCTTAAAGAAGAACAGTGAAGCAAGGGGTGTGGGGGAGGAGAAAGGAAATTGACACAAAGTAGGACAGGTAATAGAAAAGCAGATGGAGGGGTAGTGCTCTTTGATTAATATGTGCAACTAGTAACTTAAGGCGAGAGCCCAGTACACACACACACACACGCACGTGCGCACACATTTACACATGTGCTTCTTCCACTGTCAACTGATAATGTAATCTGGGACATTCCCTTTCTTTTGGTAAAAGGTCTCAGTTTCATTATTCACCAGATTTCACGCAGTCTGTCTCTGAAGACGTCTTAAGACCCTTCAAATAATCCTCACTGAACAAACTCTTTTTTACTTTCTCCTGCTGTCCCTTATCCACTTCCTTTCCTGATAAAATGTGCTGCAGGCTGTAATAACCATTCTGTGGATCTGAAAACCTGTGAAATCCCCCAAGATTATGCCTTATATCTGCTTTCCCCCCCCCCATCTGACCTTTTTAAACTTTAAGTCTCTTCTCTCACAGAGGGCTTCTTCATCCCCCATAAACAATTTTTCCTCCCTTCCATGGCCTGAAACTGCTCGGCCTGTTAGGTAACTTCTCTTTACATTCATAGGGTAAAGTAGAGAATTGCACTGTATACACACTTTAGTGTATAAGGGCATAGAAGTCCCCTCAGAAAAATGCTTTTTAAAAAATTCAGTTCAATTCAGCTTAACAATTTGGTCTGATGTTCCAAGGCCAGCGATTTTTAGGTTCCAGATGAAAGACACCAAATTGGTTATGGGGCTCAAAGAAATAGGAGACTAAAAATGAGTAAATCGGCTGGAGAGGAAACGTGGGGCATGAGGTCACATGCGTTCGTGACCTGGCAAATCTCTACCAGTCTTGTTTGGCTTTCGGGTTTTAGCTCTAACGTAGGACTTTGTTTCAGTAGGGTCTTGTTAAATTTTTCCTGTTAGATTCAACGTAGAGTTTCAGACTACTGAGCCAGGGCCCTGCTATAAAACTTGAGTGAACTAATGAACCATTCCATACCACTCCCACGTATTGGGTCTGTTTTCATTTTCATAGGAAGTGCTGGCCAATCCGGTTTTTTTCCGAGGAAAATGCATTATCTGCCTCTTCTACCCCAGATTCTCTCTTACCAGAATGAGGGCTCAGAGATTACTTTTCATGGGAGTGGAAAAAGCCCGAATATGATGTAAATTCTTACATTTGCTAGCACATAGAGAAGATGTGGTTCTCCATCCATCACTATTTATCGAGCACCTATGAAATGCCCCAAACCATGCTGGAGTGTAAGGCCGAGTATAGGTTTGTTAACTTGGTTTTCCTTTCCCATGCCTCACCCCCAATAGGAGGGATCTTTATGATATTTTTTAAAAGATTTATTTATTTATTTTTAGAGAGAGAGAGAGAGAAAGTGGGGGGAATGGCAGAGGGAGAGGGAGAGAGAGAAACTCAAGCAGACTCCATGCTGAGTGCGGAGCCAACGCAGGTCTTTATCTCAGGACTCTGAGATCATGACCTAAGCCAAAATCAAGAGTCAGATGCTTAACTGTCTGAGCCACCCAGGTGCCCCCGATTTTAAACCATTAGTTCAGCTCTCTGGATTTTATTTCATCTCTGAAGTAGCAGAAACAAGAAGGATATTTTAAAATGGATAAAAATAGTTTGTGGAAATAAAAGTGAATATTTCTTGAGCACCTATTACATGCTAGGTACCATGTTAGAAGCTAGGTCCTGGGGTAAAAAGCTTTCCAGAAATATTCCATTATTGAGTTAGATTTAGTTTAGTTTCATCTCTGAATGTGAAGAACTTTGGTTTTCCTTCAATTAGTAATTTATTTACTGATTGCTATTTTCAGTGAAGAGGACTTACTATAAGAACAGTACATACATCAATGCTTTCTTTCTTTATTAACCTTGGGTTGAAGACTCCTCTTTTTGTATTTTGACCAGACAATTCAGTGGTCACATCACTGATGTTAAATGGGATCAGACCTCAGCAAGGACAGTCTCCTTTACCCCTGGTCATGTTCTACTTTAGTATGGCAAGAGGGCTGAGTCCCCTGGTTTGGGTTTGGGGGTAATCATGTTTGCATTTGTCTTTTTGACTGTGTATCCCCAGAGGCAGAGGCTGTGCCTGTTATGTTTGCATTGAATGCTGCCTTGTTCTCTTGCTCTCTATAAATAATAAATAAAAACAGTAATGTAGAATTTTCATATTAAAATGTATCGAATATTAAAATGTATTGAATAGATAAGAATACATCCTACTATTCCTACATGGGGCTGGGTTCATTCTAGGAATTGGTATACAAAATGAATTTGGCCTTTCATTTTATTTTTTTTTTAATTTTTATTTATTTATTTATTTATTTATTTATTTATTTATTTATTTATTTATTTATATTTTAAGTAGGCTCCACGCCCAGCGTGGAGCCCAACACAGGGCTTGAACTCACGACCCTGAAATCTAGACCTGAGCTGGTATCAAGAGTCGGCTGCTGAAGCGACTGAGCCACCCAGGCGCCCCTGAGTTTGGCCTTTTAAAACTGCATTTTTCCTTATATTTTGTTGGAAATTTGGTTCCATAAGTCATACTGCTAATAACACATTTACTTTATATCTCTAGAGACACGAGTCACACATTGTTTACAGTAGTCAACAACCTCAGATGCTGTGTTTTTTTTTTTGACAAGCCCCTTCCAGGCTTTTAGCTATACCACAAAACCACCCACTTACAGTTTGATTTAAAAGGAGTCCCAGAAGATGAGCCCAAACAAAAAGCAACTATTCCTTTA